AAGTGTTTAAATTCATGGCTTTTTCTTTGATATATTTTTGTTTGTCATTTAAAAAATATAATGCTCCAGGGTGAGTTTTGATTGACTCGGACCATTTTCTTAGTTTGGTACTTCTATTTCATGAGCAGGGATGTTGAAAGACTTAATATTCTGTTAACATCAATTGTGTAATTCGTAATTAAATTCAGATTATACTTGGTCCAAATTTTTATTACTGTCCACTGCAGTATTTCTGATAACCATTCTTGAACTTCGTGTCCTAGATGTAGCTCTAATTATCTACTATTTTTGTTTATTGAATCCAGGAACAGATTTATTGGACTGTACCTGAGCATTTAATATCCGAAGTTGTATATTTGACCAGGCAAGATCAGCATTAATCAAAAGTGGTTACTAGTTACCTATCACTAATCCTCATAAATTTACTACATTCCTTACAATAATAGATGATCGATTTGTCAACTTACAAAAATAATTTAAATCAGTTCATTAAAAATGTTCAATGTTGTACAACTTACAAAAATAATTTAAATCAAGTTTCATTAAAAATGTTCAATGTTGTACAATAAGTAGTATTCTTTCAGCAATTTTTCCACCTAATATATGATTTAAAGGTTAATAGATAATTAAATGTTTCTTATAATACCAAAAGAATTATATTGTTATATTTATTAAACATGTTACCATCATTATTAAATATATTATGATAATTACAATGAATATTCACTAAAATTAAATAAACCACTTACCATCTTATATAACAAAGATTTATTCCGCACCAATTTAATCATTCCGTCTTCTCTTCTTCCACGGACACGCATAAATTAAATTAGAAATGTTCTTAAAAAGATTGAGAAGGATCAATTAAAATTTGAAAACGAAAACAGAATCAATTAGATTTTAAAAATATTAAACAGATTTAGTTAAATTTTAGAATTAAATTCAAAACTAAAAGTAAAACAATCCATAAGAAAATACATAATTAAAATAAAATTACGTTTGAAAAATTAATTATATTTAATTTCCCTATAAAATCGATTTACTTGATCAAAATATGTTCTTGTAATAACTCTAATTGGCATATGAAGTAGAAAGACTGATAACATATGGACTGAAAAGAGAAAATTAATAAATATGGTGTTTGGTAGTTTCTTTCTACCCAAGCTACAGTTTGAATGGATTCAAAAATTCCCTTTATTATCTTCATCATTAAATAATTGTATTTTTTTTGTTGCTATCTTACAGTCTTTTTCTACTTTTTACCAACACAAGAAAACTCTGGGTACATTTTGTTATCGAGATTAAACTTGCATTAATTTTCTTTTCTAAAATAGAAGTGTGAAGAAGGCTTGGTGTGTTCAACTTTGGATGAAGAGGTAATACTTTGTGATCGAAGCTGCTTCCTTTATCGAATCTATTTATCATGCTCTTCAGTTCTTCTTCTTTCCTCTGTTAGGGTTTACGTGATTTTCAGATCGAAAACACTGATAGATTGTGATTGAGGAAAATGAATGAAGACATGGAAATGAAAGGTCTGAGAAAATGTGATGTTATGCTGTGCTGTGCTTTGTTGTTTTCAGCTGCTTGCTCTCTCATCTCACACTGAAAGGCAAAAGCTCTTCCCTCCCACTAGCATTGTTAGGCTGAAGAGCTTGAATAGAAGAACTGTCGATGTAATTGTGTCTAGACTGTACTTTTGTTAGAGGGTGAGTTTGGTTCTTATTGGAGGTTTGTTTTCTACTATGTTTTATAGGGAAACTTTTTGGCAGCTTGGATGGGTCATCTTTGTTGATGGGAGTGGCCCAATTAGACAAAAACTAAATCTTAGATTTCAACTTTGTTGACCTAGAACTACATAAACTTTTGAATAAGCTGTAATCAACAATTCTACCGCTTGTCATGAAAAAATGCAATGAACTTTTGAATGAAGATGGATGTCCGTGATAACATCCCAATGTGTAATTTATATTTGTTTTACAGTAATACATTCATTGCAAAAATTTCATATGCTTAAGCTTATACCATTTTGGCTTCTTGCAGTATGCATTTCACTTTTCATCCGTTAATGAAATTTCAGGCTGTTTAAGAATGTTGGAGAAGTTTGGTACAACTTTCAATGAAGATGGAACTCATAATTTGATTGTTCGGCTGCCATAATGTCATCAGGAGTGGTTTACACAACATCAGCATATCATATTCGCGCATATCGCTAGCTGATGTAGCTAAAAAGTTGAGGTTGAACTCTGCTAATTCTGTTGCTGATGCTGAGAGCATTGTATCGTAGCAAAGACCATCCGTGATAACTGAGGTGATTCTCAGATAAATTACACCCTGCCTTCTTTTGTTGTTTGAGTCGGACGTAGAATTGAAGAAGCCCATATCACTTGATTTATTTATTTTTCTTGGAGCCTATCAAAAGATAATTGTATCAGTGACAAGGGAAGAAATATAATAATGTAAAAAACTTTGCCTTTGGCTGGGTTTCTTGGCATTCGGCAATATCAGATTGCTTGACGGTGCTATTATGGCTAAGCATGGCCCGTGTGATCAAACTTATAATTTATGAACCCTCCACTTAAAAAATGAGGAAAATTCAGTGTCCAATGTACAACTGGATAACAGACTACTGACAATCTGTATAGGCAAAATGGGACATGTGGACATGTGGACTTAGCTCACAAAAGACGACACCGTCATCATTTCCATGTGAGCCTGTAAATTATGATCTGCACCGTTTGTTCCATTTGATAAAACCATTCTGTCTTTTTATCCACAAATGGAGTTACAAACCATGAGATCCATGTGAGACGAAAGAAGTAGACATTGGGATCTGTGAGGAGCTAAAGTTAAATAATTAGGGTTTTGAAACATTCACGGCTCTTATGTGGACATGTGCGTGTGAGTGGGTTAGAAGGGATGTATAAGAGGAATACTGAAAGAGAACGTGGGAATGATTGAATGGTGTTCAGACTTGCACACAGATTTAATCTGATAAATTATAAAAATTGTTTCTTGAGTTCTCTTATCTTGCAGAACCTCACATGTGGCATAGTTGCCTTAGCTATTCTATACCCTTATTTAAACACAGTTTTTGTACTTGGAAATGGCAATAATTGCAAATACAATTTCTACTCTCATCATATCCTTCAACCTCATCATCTCACTTGGGATCTTGGGCATTCAGCAAGCTAGAAAAAAAAAATGGGCCGAGTTATGTTTCTTTTGGGTAGCCTCATTGGATTATGCAGCTTCACAATCACTACCTTTGCCTTCTCACCTTCTGGATGGACCAATGCCCATGCCACTTTTTATGGGGGTAGTGATGCTTCAGGCACTATGGGTAATTAACTGTAACCAAACATTTTAATACTAGATTCTGTTTTGTACCCTACTCTTCAAACTAACATTCAAAATTTCACACATAAATTGTGTATGACTGCAGGGGGAGCTTGTGGATATGGGAATCTGTATGCAACTGGTTATGGAACTAGAACTGCAGCTTTAAGCACTGCCTTATTCAATGACGGAGCTTCCTGTGGCGAGTGTTACAAAATCATATGTGATTACAAAGCAGACTCCAGATGGTGCATCAAAGGAAGATCTGTCACCATAACCGCCACAAATTTTTGCCCTCCCAATTTTGCTCTTCCAAACAATAATGGAGGCTGGTGCAACCCACCCCTCAAGCATTTTGACATGGCCCAACCTGCATGGGAAAAGATTGGTATTTACAGAGGAGGAATCGTGCCCGTCTTATTCCAAAGGTTAGAGTCTGTTCCATACCTTGGTGTTATACAAGAACATTAATATAACTTATTATGGACACCCAAGTGGTGCAAAGTAATCCTTATCTTCAAAATCAGATTTTTAAAGTTGTATTAATCAAACATAATAAATTTTTAAGATAACAACATCATAGTTTATCTAGCTTATTAGGCCATTTGTTATTATTTGATTATTCATAAATATTTAATCTTTCTATCTTCACAGTGGAGACGTCTGATACGCTATTAAAAAAACATGATCATATTAAAGTATATAACTTCTCGACTTACAATTCAATTTTCTGGGTTCGAAGAATTTGGTCTAATTTGATTGTGGTCACTGCAAAACAAAAATAACTACATTAATATTTGTCAAAAACGTCTTTTGAATTACTTTGTGACATTGATATGATTGGTGCAGGGTTCCATGCAAAAAGCACGGAGGGGTTAGGTTCAGTGTGAATGGGAGGGACTACTTTGAGCTTGTGTTGGTCAGCAATGTGGGTGGGGCTGGATCCATCCAATCTGTGTCCATTAAAGGATCGAAAACTGATTGGATGGCTATGTCAAGAAACTGGGGTTCTAATTGGCAATCCAACGCATATTTGAATGGTCAATCTTTGTCCTTCAGGGTCACAACTACTGATGGAGAAACCAGAGTTTTCCAAAATATAGTTCCAGCAAGTTGGAGTTTTGGCCAAACTTTCTCCAGCCCAGTTCAGTTCTAAGCTCAGGAAAAACTCAACGGCTGAGGCGTGCTTTTTATTTTAATGGAGCAGCCCGCCACTCCCCTCATCTGGTTTTGATTATTTGGTGGACTCAACCCATCAACTCCAACCCCATAATGAAGGCACAATATATACATGCCTTAATAAATTGTTATCAATAGGAAGCTAAAGCTTGTAGAAAACAAATAAGCATCTCTCAGGTTTAAATCTATACCATAAATAAATTATTCTAATATGAATACTATAGTTCAAGTGGAAGCTGCATTTGCAGGAGTTTGGGAAAATATCAGTTCCCTCAATTTTTTCCATGTAATATTGTCACTGTTGTGTGTTTATTTCATCAACCTTTTTCAAACCACTAAAAATATTGCAAGTAGGGCTTCTGATATTTGTTTTTGTTTTTTTTCAGTAGATTAATTTTAGTTGATTAGGATTGAAGTATTCTCAGATTAAGTTTTTAATTTCAACGCAACCTGATTATAAAACGTGAACAGGGTAGATATGAATTTAAATGTTAATAAAAATACTATTCAATGAGATAACTTGAATTTGTAAAATATAAAGCCTAAAACGATGATTAATGGTTTGAATAAATTATCCGAACATGCCTGAAGTTTCTTGTTTGAATTGGTTTGATTTAATTATGCTATTTTGGTTCAGTGACCACTTCTAGTAACAAGAGTGCAAGAAAAACCTCTTAAGTTTTGTTTCTACAGAGATGAAAATGTTATTAAAAGCCTCAACTGCGTAAATCTCAGCCAATTGGACTCAGCAGAAGTCTTTAACAGCTAGCAGAGAATCTAGGTGCTTTTTGTTTGATTAAAGCACATGCACATGACATGACATGAGTAAATAAAAGTGAGACACAAGACATTAGCTGGAACCATCGCAACTGATGTCTCACACAAACTCAATCTGGACAGTGACACGTGTTTACTTTATTCTTTTAGACCTCATCATCACCTTCACAACCAATATTTCACTCCAAAATATCAACCAACCCTTCTCTTTCTACACTATTACTGTACCTTCATTCAAATTTCTATAAGTTTTCAAACTTAATTTACAGATTGAAATTACTTCCAAGAATATATGTACATCTGATACGTCTCTGCTATAACAATTCAAAATGATTCGTTATAATAACCTCATAGCTCGAAATGGTAAGTTTACCCCTTATGTAATGTAGGGACAATTTATGCAGTAGAAATATACACTCTTTTACCATGGAATGTTCACTGTTGACTTGTATCAAAATAGCCACTAAATCAAATTTTTGACAAATTATTAGACATACTAATGGAAAATTACGTTACTATGTTGAACGTGTGAAACTAAGAAGAAGAAAACTCAAAGGGAAAGAGGTAGCCAGCAAAAATTTAAGTCAAAATATTTTGGGATTACTTTGTAATATCGTTGGCTTTTTAAAGCAACAGTACCAAATGCAACTTTGATTATTTAAGAAGGTGGTTGGAAACACTGCTCCACTAACAGGGTCGTAGATCACCAAATATGCTTAACAACCACATATCATTAATAACTCCAAGGTTCCCGTGTCAGCATCACCTCCTATAAATACCACAGTTATTCTCGTTATGTTCCTCACAAGTCATATACAAAGTTTTTGAATTATAATTTGTGGTTTGAAATATGGCAGGTATTGCTACAGTGATGATGCTCATAACTACCATGCACTTGGCTTCTCTTGTGAGATCACTAAATGTAAATTACTATGAAAATACGTGCCCTCATGTGGACTCCATTGTAGCTGCTTCTGTTCACAAAGCAACCATGAATGACAAAACTGTTCCAGCTGCTCTCCTTCGGATGCATTTTCATGATTGCTTCATAAGGGTATGCAACCTTTTGCTTGTCCTAAAACTCAAATAATATTCATCTGGAGCAAGTAACCTTCCTTTGCGTGTTGGTTCAATGCATAAGTTTCAAAAGGGGAAATTACTGTTCATCAAAAAAATTCTCTTCATATCTTGCATGCACTGACATTATACACACACACGTCTAAAAGTGATGATGTTTACTCTTTTTTCAAGGGTTGTGATGCCTCTGTTCTTCTGGAATCAAAGGGGAAGACCATAGCAGAAAAGGATGGACCTCCTAACATTTCATTGCATGCATTTTATGTCATTGACAATGCTAAGAAAGCACTTGAAGAAGTATGCCCCGGAGTGGTATCTTGTGCTGATATTTTGGCTCTTGCTGCTAGGGATGCTGTTTCTCTGGTTAGTGTCTCAATCAAACATTGATATACACTAACCATATTTTTATGTATTCATGTATTAATTCATGATTGGATGATGATGTAAAACTTTGTATCTTGAAGTTTAAGGTATTTTTTACTTTTTTTTTGTCAATCTAACTTACAATGGATATCATAACTTTGTTTACTTATTGGCTTTGTTGGGTTAGTCCGGTGGCCCTACTTGGGATGTTCCGAAAGGAAGAAAGGATGGAAGGATATCAATGGCCACTGAAACCAGACAATTGCCAGCTCCTACATTCAACATCTCCCAATTACAGCAAAGCTTCTCTCAAAGAGGCCTTTCCTTGGAGGATCTTGTAGCCCTCTCAGGTACTTTGAAACAATGAGGAACATATTATCCTTTACAAAATGTGAATCTAAGTTACACATTTGATAAAAACGAAAAAGTTGATAAGATATAAGATATATGAGAACTGCATGATGATTAAATTCCGATACATGTATGAGATGATGTTCTGTTATGTGATGTGCAGGAGGTCACACACTAGGATTCGCTCACTGTTCATCCTTTCAGAACAGAATCCATAAATTCAGCTCAAAGCAAGACATTGACCCTTCCATGAAGGCTTCATTTGGAAGCAGGCTGAGAAGCGTATGCCCCTCTCATAACAAGGTGAAAAATGCAGGAAGCTCGTTGGATTCTAGTTCAACCTTGTTTGACAATGCTTATTACAAGCTGCTCCTTCAAGGAGAGAGCATATTCTCTTCTGATGAAGCTCTGCTAACTCATCCCACCACTAAAGCTTTGGTTTCCAAGTTTGCTTATTCTCAAGAGGAATTTGAAAGGGCCTTCGTCAAGTCCATGATCAAGATGAGCAGCATCACCAACGCTGAACAACAACAAATCAGACTCGATTGTAAATTCGTTAGATGATTCATAGTTCGTATTGAATCAAATGTGTTTGTGCTGTCATAATGGTCTTCTTACTTGTGTACTGTCACCATTTTTCTAGCAGCATTTTAGCAGATGAAATAAATGTCAAACTGAGGAAAAAATGTTTATGGTGATCCATGACTAGTGGCCGAAGCAAGTATTCAAAAGGAAAATGTTATTTGGACAACAAAAGTTTGACACAATTTTGACAACGGCGACGTGGCAGCTGTGCATTGGCTCAGTGAACCGGGGTGAGGGGTATTTTGGGTTTTTTCTGGTTTGTTTTCAATTCACTGAGCCAATGCACAGCTGCCACGTCGCCGTTGTCAAAATTGTGTCAAACTTTTGTTGTCCAAATAACATTTTCCTT